TTCCCCGGGTGGCATTCCACTTTTGAATCGGAGGTACAGGAAGCACGAAGTGTTACCGGGCAGGGGAGCGGTTGTTTGGCTAGGGTGGTCAGCTTACGCTCTTAGTCAAGCAGCAGCTCCCCATTCATAAAAAATATGTACCTTTTTAATGAATGGGAAGCTACTTATTGGCTTAGAGTGTCAGCTGACCACCCAGCGGCACTCCATGCTTTCTGCAACTCAGAAGCCGGATGCCGTCTGGGGAAACTTGAGAGCAACCTTTGGGGTTAAACTGTTTGAAAAAATTAAAACTCTTTAAAAGGTAAGAGTGCACCTGGGGGCCTCTTGGCATCATAACAACCTTAATTTAGTTGAAGCTGTTATAGTGACCAGAGTGCCCCTTTAAGGAATATATTTTACAGGCCTGACATTTCCATATAGCAAATCACTCCCAGGTATTTTTGATCCATTGTAATGGGAACAGGGTAAACTGTATCTGCTACATCGTACATCCTTTCTCAACTGGAATCAGAGACCCCACGATTCTTCAGGGTAAGGTCTTATCCTCTACTCAATATACAGGCAGATGTCACATCTTCCGACAACCTCTTCCTGTAGGAAAGAATCCACTCCTCAGTGTCCATAAGACCATCCTTCCAAGACCACTTTTGGCTCACAGGCCAAAGTGATTACACGTTCAGCACACAGGTCCCCAGACTGTCCTCAAGCCCCCCAAATAACAGGCAACACTTCTGTTCAGGGGTAAAGCTATACCCAAAATACTTAAATCGCAATGACTAGCCACCAGCAACACCTCATTCAGCTTACTGTGAGCCACACAAATAACATATGCAAATGTATGCAAATTCCCTAGCTAGTAATTCAGAAGGACTTCAATGGCAGTGACACTATCAGAATACCTTCCCGGTATATCCATCACAAAATACTTCCAATACGCCCACAGGTTACAGGCGTCACTGTGCACAGATACACAGTTTGTCATTTTCACACCCAAATCCTTATAACGGTTTTATGAACCTCTTTATAACAAGGCATTATAGTAGTTCACGTGAATTCATTGGAAAGAAGATTAATAGCAGATACAGGCTACATATCAATATGTATCTACTTCAATTATTTATTTACAGACAATTGCCTTAACATCTGGATAGGATCAGGTGGACAGGAACACGCTCTCTCCTATTATGATAAATATTCCGGCTTGCTCATTTCAATGTGAATTTCAAAGAATTCAAAGTGAGGTTCATAATTTATGCCAAGAGTAAAAACATAGCTCACTCGGAGAAATGGTTTTCAATTTTTTTTATTGAAAGCAGGAATTTTAGAGGCTTTACTGATTAATGCCCAGTTACAGCCTCTTGTTTTAAGTCATGCAAGTTGCTAAAAAATAATTATAAATCATTAAAAAAAAAAAAAAAGTGCTGCGCTTAAAATGGCAAATACAAAAAGATTACGGATACTTGGACATAATAATCCCATTGCTTCATTTTAGAATGTACGTCCACGTTAATGTACATTAGAATTATTTTACTTGCACATTAATGCTATGATAAACGAAAGGTTAAAATACACACACATCTATGGCTTTAAATAATATAATCATAAGCACTCCACAAAAATGCCTCGAAATAGAAAAGAATTAAGGAAGCACAGTTTAATAATAATCTAAAATAGATCACTTGTTATATTTTAGATTATTATTGGAGTGTGCATCCTTAATTATTTTCTATAGCATGTCTTATAAAGCACAACATATTAAATATATATTTATAAAAACAACAACTTTAAGAACCATATAACTCACATCTGTAAATAAATTAGTTATTAAAAATGATTTAGATTTTATACACATTATATTATCACATTAGTGATATAAATCAATTACTATTATTACACATTCATTATAGGTTTATAAATGTATCTGCATATTATTCTTCAACATCCACAACACAACAATAAACTGCTTATAAAAAGGGAAGAGTAAAAAATATGGATCACGCACGGAGGGAGAGAGCAGAGCGGAGGTAAAGCCAGTCCTGACGCAAGGACTATGTCAAAAGATCTATTATCTTACAAATGTATATATCTATTGGTGGGAAAGAGAATAAAGACCACATCCCTGAATATTTAACCAATATACCCAGAACCGGTTTTGAAGTTGCTCTGGGAATTGTGAGTGCATTACTATAGAGATTTAATAAGACGTTCAAATAATACACAGTTGCACAAATATTTTATATGCACTTTAAATGAACACTTCAGTAGAGGGAGTACAAAGATGAATTCCTAACACCGTGTTCCTCAGGCTCCACGCCTCCATGCCCAGGATAGGGTTAAACTGTAGCGCCAAGGCATCTGAAACAATTAATCAAAATATATAAAAAAAAAAAAAAAAAGACAAACTGATGAGGTTTATTCAGGAACGTGGCCATTGGCTGGATTCAAAGTAAATTTAACATTTTAGAACAAAAGAACCCCAAAAAAGCTAGTTAGGTTTTCAGTTCAACTCCTTTGTCC